ACACACACACACACACACACACACACACACACACACACACACACACACTCTCTTTCTCTCTCTCTCTCACACACACACATCTGTTGAGAACTCTGAAATTTTGTTTTCTTTAAAAAACAGAAATATTATAAAAAATTGCTTTTGTGTGGAGACATGGTACTGCTTCAGACTGTCTGCAGTAGCTGACTATGATGTCTCATGCTATAGCAGAGGTGTGGTTTTTGCCAATTGCAGATAGTTTTGGGGATTGTGTGATTTTGGAATTCTGGAAACCCTCAGAGGGTTTATAAATCCTAGAGCCCTGAGAGGTGAGGCTGGTGGTGGTTGGTCATTCAGCAGGGTTGGTTGCAGTTTTGTTAGTAGACATACTCGAAGAAACAAGAAGAAAGAAATTAGATTCAAGGATCTCTCTCTCTCTCTCTCTCTCTCCCCCCCTTCTCTCTCCCTCCCTCTCCCTCTTCCCCTCTCCCCTCTATCCTTCTTTCTCTCCTATCTAGTGATAGGGGGTGAAACAGGGAGAGGGAGGGGGAAAATAAAGGGTGGGTAAAAGAAAATCCCACAATGGAGCAAAGTCTAGCTACAGACACAGGCAGTAGGTATAGCTCAACCTGTAGAATACTTACTGTTGTAGAACCTGGTGGTCATTCATCCATAAAAATAAAGACATCAGGACCTTTTAATATTTCAAACCATAGGTCTTAATTGGGCAACTAGCTTATCTAATTTAATCCATCCATCTAGCCTCATCCAGCCATGTGGCTAGCTATACCTTCCCAGGACCTTGGTCACAGCTGTCTCCTTTCCTGTCTCTTGGCAAAAAGGCTTTCCTTTTTATTCTTCTCAGAGTTCCTTTCTCTCTCCCAGGAAGTCCTGCATTCTACTTCTCTCTCTCTCTCTCTCTCCCCCCCCCCCCAACTATAGTCTGTCAGCAACTTTTACTAGCCATTCAGGAACAATTGGGGAGGCAAGGTTCACACAATGTCATCCTGAATACATGAGAATCTTCCCATAGGACACAGGATCCTGGGGGCCAAGCAACCAACACTTGAACACATAGTAGCCCCAGATCAACTCCAACAGCTTACCTAGGATGTGTATGTGCAAGAGCCCTAGGTTTGATCATTAGCACCATTCCACTCAAAATTCAAAACATGTTTTGGCTACTATATTATTTCCAAATATATCTTGAATAAATCCTGATTTGATTTGTTACTTGAAACAGTCTCATGTATCCATTGTCATCCCCAAGCTCATCGTGAAGCCAAGGATGATCTGACCTAGAATGCCTGATCTCCCGTCGCCATCTCTGAAGTTTTGGTGTTACAGGCTATATGTTGCTAGGGATGGAACCACAAGCCTGTACTTGAGTCCATATGTTACACATTTTAATAATTTAAATGTTCCTTGGGGGAAAAAAAGGACACGTACTCTCTAAAAGTTAGTTATGTGGAGCCAGGTGGTGGTGGCCCATGCCTTAATCCCAGCACTCACGAGGCAGAGGCAGGCAGAGCCCTGTGAAATTGAGGCCAGCCAAGGCTACACAGAAAAATTGTCTTCAAAAACCAAAAGCAAGTTAGCTATCATTTTTAGGTCCTCTCCCAATACCATGGAAAGAACTGCTTGTAAAACTCATCATAGACCTTAGGGTTTCTTACTTCCTCTTTTCAATTCCTTGTTTTTAATTGGAACAAATTATTACAAAGTTAAAACTGCATAAGGAATTAATATGTTTTAAAGAAGTCATAAGAAACCAGTTATAAGTGATGCATTCCTGCTCCCACACTAGAAGACAAAAGCAGGAGAATTAACACACACACACACATACACGTTTGAGGTCAGTGTGGGGTAATGGAGAGTTTGAGACTAGGGTGGACTACATAGTGAGGCCCCGAATTAAAAAAATAAAACAAAAACAACAACAAAAGAGTTTATGAGATTTTTTTAAAAAATATTTCAGTGCTGTTCCTAGTGTAATAGCATGCACCTTACTATTTTTTTTTGTGTGTGGGAGTTTTTTGCCTACATATGTATCCATGTGTACTTTGTATGTTAAGGGCCCTAAGAGACCAGAAGAGAGAGTTGTATCATCTGGGACTGGAGTTATAGATAGTTGTGAGCCACTGTGTGGTTGCTGGTGATCATACCCAGGTCCTCTGGAAGATCAGCCATTGTTCTTAGCCTCAAAGCCATCTCTCCAGCCAATGAGATCTTTATACAGTACGTAAAATTAATTCAAAGGGGATCCCAAGCCTAATTATCAGTTTATAAAATTTTTAGAAGAAAACAGAACTTATTACCTGAGTTCAACAATGATTGGATCATAAACTGAATATCTGCTTTTAAGAAGATTTTAAAAACATAAAAATAAATTAAAAAAAAAGAAGACAATAGGTTTGAGTGAAAATTTCTCCCAAGAATAGATACAGAGGGCTAATAAGATTCCAAATATGGGGATTGGAGACATGGCTCAGCAGTTTAAGAGCACAGGTTCAATTTCCAGCACCTGCACCATTTGTAACTCTAGTTCAATGCATATGATGCCCTCTTCTGGTCTCAAGGGGCACTTCACTGCATGCACATGGTACACAGACATATGTGCAGACAAAACACCCATGCACATAAAATTCAAATCTCAAGAAAAACACTACCTACATTTATTTTTTAAGGGATCCAAATACAATGGTACATGCCTATAATCCCAGCAGAAACTGATGAGGGAAGCCTTTTAATGTAGCTAGCTCGAATTTCCAACAAACGGAGTCCTGGGCAGAGCAGAGTATCTCTTCAGATGAGGCTTCCAAGTAAAAGAACAAATAGGAGCAGATAGAGAGAACATCACAGGTCAGGCACTGATGCTCATGACATGCAGAAGAAAGACTGGAAAAGTTGAGGGAATCCACTCAAACTCCTAGTTGAGGTTTCTTTCCATGGCTGAGTTTTCTATGACTGGACTTGCAGCTACTTTTTCCCACTGCAGATGCTTTACATCACAGGATAAACAATAGTAACTTCTGTTGGAAATGGCTGCTGCCTTGCTATTTGCAAAGGCATGGTTTTTATTCTTGGGCTGTTTTATTTTCTTTCCTATCCCAGAATTATGGAGGTTAGCCTATCTACTCCAGACCTTGGAGGACACTTTGAAAAGTGTTCTTGGGTCTCAAATAGGGAGGCTCACTTTCATATCGAGCTTCTCAGTGATTTCCAAAAACATGTGATGATTTACCAATATTGTACATTACACCTTCCACTATCTCTTACGAATATTGATTCAAAGATCTTCAAAAGGATGTATCTAAACTTAATGTAGCGTACAAAAAGAATTATACACCATGAGCAAGTATGAACTTTCCTAGGAATACAAAGTTGATTTAACCTATGAATGTCAGTATAATGTACAAAGAATGTCTATAGACAGCTAGTAAGTAGTCAGGTGTATATGTCAAAGGGGTCACTTTAAAAAATACTTATTTTTTATTTTATGTACATGAATATGTTGCCTGCATGGTATCTGTGCAACGTGGTGTGCCTGGTGCCTGTGGAAGCCAGAAGAGGGCTTTGCTTCCCCTGGAACTGGAGTTATAGATGGTTGTGAGCTATCATGTGTGTGCTGGGAATCAAACCTGGGTCCTCTAGAAAGTAACATGTGCTCCCAACCACTGGACCATCTTTTCAGCTCAGGGGTCTTTTAGAAAATGTAATGAAGTATCTATGAGTAAAATTGTTTAATATTTTGATATTGGCTCCCAACAGCTCAGTGAAGTCAGGAAAAAGTCATGATGCATAGGAATTTAGGTTAATCTAGACTGGCCATGTGTCATGATTGTTGAAACTGAGTGATCAGTACATGGTGGAGAGGAGTGCTCATCCATCCACCTGCCTGCCTATCTATCTATCTATCTATCTATCTATCTATCTATCTATCTATCTATCTATCTATTTACTTTTTTTTTATTGCAGTCCTGTGGATTTACCTTTTTACAAGTGAGGCAGGTGTTCTGCTTCTGTTTACTTTTGTCTGTTTGGAAAAATATCCGTATCAAAAAAATTGTTAGATTTCTCAATAATAACAACAACATCATTAATTG